CCAAATAAATTTCATACATTTAAAAAAAAGCAGCAGGACGACGTTCCGTGAAACAACAGAACCAGTTCCTCTCAGTCACTGGTTCCCAGTCAAACTACCAGTGTGATAAATCATTAACAGGACAGCAGACATTTTATAGGACATAAAATGACACATGTAATATTATGAGTATTGTCTGAAGGAGTTGTTTGTTGTCATCACAGTTTGAAGTTAAATTAAAAACATAATTAATATTAAATCACATGTTAACAGTCAGACTGTGTCAGAGATCAAAACACTGATCGATCAGATCAATGAGCTCCGTCCGAGGATTTTAATAAACGATCAGAGTTCAGTATTGTTTCAGTTATTAGAAGATTACATCATCAGTTCAAACTGTTCACAGGCTTTAATTCTATCTTTATTATTAAAGTTAATTATCAATACATCAGTCAGAGCTGCACCAAATCAATCGGCGACGACTCACATCATTGATTCACATTATTTCTTTATCAAATCAGAAGAAGTGATTCCAGACTTCCCGTTTTATTTCACACAATATGTTTCATTAATTACAACATTATTTCTAGAAAAAAATCGTGAATTAGAAAATAATCAGCAGAGTAATCAATTAGGAAATTATTGATTAATCTCCACACTTAATGAAACAAGTGTGATCACATCCTGCACATATTACACTTTATATTTTATATTATCATTATGTTTACTGTACTTATTATTCATACCTGGAACTATAGGCTTACACGCTATATGTATACACACACACAAACACACACACGCACGGCAGTATTTGCACAATGCTCTCGTGCAGAATATAATGTGTTTAACAATATAATCGCCTTTATTACAATATATCATGTAACTGTTTACACCTGTTAGTGACTTAATTAATAAAGTCAGTTTTAGTTTGATGGAGAAATTCGTGAGAATCAAACATTAAATTTGTTGCAGATTAATTTTCTGATCAATGAATCGTTTCTGAAGCGGATCAATATTCACTTTAACAGATTCACTGAGGTGACGTCATATTTAAAACACTATTTATTCTTATTCATATTTATGGGTTCATTACTTTGTATTAAACACACCGTGTATTAACATTAATGGATCAATAATTCAATGAGAACATAAAGAATTTACTGAGACTTTAAATGTTAAATTAAATTCACAGAAAAAAATAAATTAAATAAAAACTGATAATAATCTGTTTATTATCAGTTTTTATTTCTGACGTGATATTAAATGATTTTCTGTTTCTGTTAATTATGATTTAATTTTGTATTTAAAACAGGTGGATTCATTAAATGTGTTGTATATAATTAACCCTGTGATAAACGGAGGTGACCTGATAATAAATGTATTTGTATAATAACACAGATGATAAAAACTTTCACCGGACACCCTCCGTGTGTCTCGGCTCACCTGGCGTTGGTGCAGTCCCGGTACAGCGTCTCGAAGTCGGCCCTGGTGATGAGCTTGCAGCGGTTGACTCCGGGCTGGATGGCTCCGAGACCCCGCAGGACGCGCACCTGCTCCACGGTGCAGACCACCGGGCTGATGTCCAGCCGCTTCAGCTTGGTGTAGACGGTGTGCAGTCCGCCCACCAGGTGCTTCAGGAACAGCTCGAACACCTGCGGCAGGCAGATCAGCTCCACGCCGTTCACCGAGAACGACGCCACCTTCACACCGTGAACTTCCACCATCTTACACTCGGTGTGCGGCGGAGCGCAGCCACCTCCGCCGCTGCCGCTGCCGCTCGTCCCGTTCACTTTGACCGGAACTCTGTCGCTCCCACCGCTCAGGAAAGCTCCGGCCAAGCGGGCAGCGGGGAGGCGCGGGGAGCTGGCCAGGTTAGGAGCGCTGTAGGGCGGGTTGGAGTGGAAGAGGGGGTCGGTGGGAGAGGTGGAGGTCCGAGACAGAGGGCTGTTAGAAGAGCCCGCCATGTTAGAGCGGGAAACAGAACAAGAAGAAGAAGAGTGACTTTATTCTTCTTCTGTGATTCTCTCACGCTCTGTCTCTCTCTGTTCCCGCCACTCCCCTTCTCGTGCTCTCTGTCCCACACACAGCCAATCAGAGTCCAGCCAATCACACGCAGGGACCGCTCACGGACAGGCCTCCCATTGGCTGAGAGAGCGCACCAGGGGTGGTGCTTATCCAACGCGAATGTGACAGGTGAGTGATTGACAGCTCATTTTGAAATTAAAAAAGCAAAAAACAATAACAAAAAAAAAAACTAAAATAACACAACTAAATAAAATAAAATAAAAAATGAATAAAATCAATGAGGAGTTTTGAATTGTTTTTAAGAATGAAGTTGAGACAATTCTACTGTTGTGTTTAAAAGTTTATCTTTAGATGTTTTTGGCCAAAATAATTTTAGCTTTAAAATGATCGTTTCATCTGCACTGCGTTCATCCTGCACGTCAGTGACGCTTCATCAATCTTTCAACTTCAACTATCGCTTCAAAAAATTTAATTTGTGCGAATACATGAAAGGCCCAAATGTGGTGTGTTTGTCACACATCGTGTCATTCAGGTCTGCCTGTGTCGGTGCATTGACTCTGTCTGTGATGTCACTGCGTTAAACTCTTATCGTGTTCCGTGTGAACATGTCATCACATTTCAGCTGCTTTCAACACGTCTGATATTTCAGCAGTTCAGCTGACACTTCGTTTATCTTCAGGTACAAACTCTGCTGCTTCAGCTGCTTTCACCTCTGACTCATCAACCAAGAATTTGACTTTAGCTTCAAACCAACGCTTCAACTTCTCAACACGACCCTTGAAACTTCCAAACACTTTGAGCCACAGATTTCCGCACTGCCTTCAGCTCCTCACTTCACTTCAGCCGACACCTCGACTGCTTTCACCCGTCAATCATCTCACAAGAAAACACCTCACAGTTTCCCTCATGTTAGTGTTTACAGCGCTGCTCGTCAGTTCCCGACAGGAAGTTTAACCTTTCTTCATTTACTATTATTTATGGAGGCATGTGACCACTGATTTTCATATTTCCACTTATTTCATACATATGTTTTAAATAGGATAATAATGATGCATTTATCTCACTAATACAGTGTCACTGATTGTCTGCTGCTGCTGCTTGTTTATTTATGAATAATTTCAGACAGTTTTTATCATTAATCGATGAGTTTTGTTCAGTTTAACGTGTTTATTATTTGTTCAGAATCATTCCCTGTTTGTATTTAAAGCTGAGCTGTTAACAGTGCAGGTCATAAATTCATATTTTTAATCTGAGGCAGAAGAAGAGACGGAGAGATGCTGCGCCTCATACATCAGCTGAGTTTCAAATTAAAGGCACTGCGTTAAATTAAAAGCATCAAATTAACCTTTACAGAGCAGAGTGAATTAAATGTCAGCAGAAAACACCTGAACACACCACATCCATAATATCTATTGATCTAATGTACCTGAACACACCATATCCATATTATCTATTGATCTAATGTACCTGAACACACCACATCCATATTATCTATTGATCTAATGTACCTGAACACACCACATCCATATTATCTTTTGATCTAATGTACCTGAACACACCA